TGAGATTTAGACGCTTGAAGACCATCGGAAACATTGTTCACAAAGGCAAATAGAGCTATCCTCACTAGAGATCCCCTATGCACGACCCATTTGCGGAGTTTCCCTATTTGGGTAGATTTGGCTAGAATTTTGTTTTCGGGAACTATTTAACCCCTTGGAACTAATATTGTGCCCGCTCAGCTTTTTGTACCATCGGAAATTGTTCACAAAGTTGTAATTTATTTCTACCAGAGAGGTTGGTAGGTGGAAGACCTTATTGAAAATGGCCTGACGTTTTGACAGGATCGTCGTCCTCAGAGGCCAGTCCACCACCACATGAGCGGAACGATGCCACTCGCTGTTACTTGTAGTTAGTAAGACTCACAGGCCTCTGAGGGCAACGATCCTGTCGAAACGTCAGGCCATTTTCAATAAAGTCTTCCACCTACCAACCTCTTTGGCAGAATAATTACAACTTTAAAGTTCACAATAATGCCGAGGTTTTATGAAGAGAGAAGCTGGACACTACTGTTCACAAAGGTAAATAGCGCCCCCCTCGCTAGGAATCCCCTACGTACGACTTTCCTATTTGCGAAGTTTTTGGAAGGCAGATTATCTCAATCCATTTTCCACCCTCAGCACCTTATTATGTAAGTTATGAAAGGTGTTGGCGTGATTCATCCACTGCTGCCCTTTTTCTTCAAAATTCTTAGATTAGATTTGTTAGATTTTTAACGAGCTTTCTCTCCATGGGTAGATTTGGCTAGAATTTTGTTTTCGGGGTAATGTAACCCCTAGGAACTAATATTGTACCCGCTCGGCTCAAAAGCGCCTGGCAGTGGCGCCACAAGCGCAGGCGCAGGCGAAACACCTTTGCTGTTAACACCTACGAAATGCGTACTCCTGGAACTTTTCCCACTTGCGGACATTTTCTTTTTTCTTCTCTTTGTAAAAATCTATAGAACGTATTTCATTCTCATCCGTTGTACCAGTTGTCAATGTTTGTTCACTTCGATTTAGTTGGTAGTTTGAAACTTCAAAATTCCTCTGGAAAATTGATTAAAATTGCATATCCGCGTTTGAGGCCCTTGAATATTGAACTACGCCAGGTTTTAAGACTTCCATAAATTTTCTCATCAAACAACAGTGGAGCTAATTATGGAGCGGAAACACAATAGATTTATTATCGATTGTTGAGGCTAATGAAAATTGATATGTAATTCAGTTTGTTGCTCGTGATGAAGGAGGCGACGGAGACGATGACGTTGAGTACCGGTTGATTAACACCGAACGTAAGTTAATTTAAGCTCAATTGCATTTAAATAGAAAAATAATTCTTATGGTTTGGTATGCGTGTCGCTTTAAAACGAAACTAGTCAGCACCAGATGTCCAAATTTTTATCTTTTGTCTATTTTACTTCTCCTAAATATTTCCATTTAAGCGTCTGGAATGTTCACAGTGGACACAAACACAGGAGTAGTTCGCACAGCTGTACGTCAGTACAAAGAAGGACAAACGTATCGAGTACTAGTCCAGGCGGTTGATAAGACCCCGTCGGACAATGCTACGAAACAGGTCCGTCCATAGAGTTTAACTAGTCTTCTTGTAGAGCAACAATTGAACTTCAGGTATCCGAAGTGGCGAAGTTGGAAATTCTTGCCGGTGATCGACCGCCGCAATTCCTTCAACAACACTACACCGTGTCCTTACCTGAAGACAGCCTTGTCGACTATAGGTGGGTATTTACTGGTTGGAAGAAGAAGCGAAGTAGGGGGAAGGAACGCTCGCGATAGGATTGAGGGCAACTCACCAGTTCAGCCAGTTCCTAAGAAAAATATGAATAAGTTATGGAACTTGCTCGATTGTAGATATTCGCATACAAGATCTATCAAAGGGCACGTTTCGGGTTATGGTGCGACTTTCTGTACTAAGCGCGCGCTTCCGTGAGTCCAGGTGCTTGAATTGTTGAGTTCTCATTAAGAACAACTTTATAAAATATCTACGATTTCTGTTTGAGAAAATGGTGAGTGGAACATTCACAGAATGTCCTTGCAACTACTGTAGCTATCAGTAGAGCCGCTAGTGCGTTCACACTTCGCCAATAGTGCTAAACGAGCGCGCGACGAGCGTTCGAATTAAGGCACACCATCAAAATGTGGAATTTCGCGTATCACAACTTCTCCCTATCCCGTGGTGCGACTGCTACGATCTCTCCTCCTCATCTTACCTGAAAACTTGCCAACATTTCTGAAACCTTGCCGTCGAGAGGAAGGAGTAGACACCTTCGACTAATCAACTATCAAAAATGGTGGTTTTGAATAAGTTATGACCCCTCCCAAGCGGTCAGAGGTGGCAACCGTTGTGTTTTACACTACGGGTGCTGAGCCCTGACCTGAGTAGTCATAACGCGCGTGTCAAGCGAATGTCACCGGGGATTTCGAAAACGTAAACCATTTTCATTGGCTCTCCCACTCGCAACGGAGATACCTCGGTGCTCTGAGTTATCCACTTTTGTTAGCTCACATGTCGGCGCTGACGCACCGACCGCAAGCGACTAATCGCGAAGTATGAATGCACTCACACTTCTGCGATCGCACACGCTGCATGTACGCCACCCAAAATCCTGGATGCAGTTCGGCAGGTTCGAGGGAGTGAAGCATTTTAGCACCTTCACAAGTTCCCAGCAACGTGTCGAGCCATTATGTGGAGACCTGTGAAAGCTTTGTGAAGCCACGAAATGATACCAGCCAAAGTTTGTAGAGACCACCATGTCAACTCTTGTAAAGCACTGGAATACCATACAAATACCATGGTGGCTCAACGAGTTTGCTCCAGCTTCGCAAGAGTTCACAAGTGAGACTTGTACACAGGAGCTATACAAGCAGCGAAAGTGTGTAATGTCCCCCCCCCCGTCGCCTAACTGCTTGTCCTGTCAGTCGTCAAATGAATATTTGATTTTTTCCCTTCTTTGTTGACGCTGTCACTTCTGATGACCTTCTTACTGTGCTAATCGTCTGAAGTACTTTCTCCTACCTATTCGTTTTACATGGTTGCCCTTCGTTTCTTTGGAACTTTCCGAACTAAATCTCGAATTTTCAGTGTGGTGGATGTTAGAGCGCATCGTTTTCGTGCCATCGACGATCGCCGCTCTAAGGGAGAGCTCACCTACTCGGTTTGGAGTCAACATGGTGGTCAACGTGAAGCGACATCAATGTTTGGAATCGATCCAAAAACGGGTGTCATACATCTGAGGCGTCCACTTGGACTATGACGATCCGTCACTGCCGAAATTACATAAACTCATCGGTGAGTCATCTCCTCCTTCCTTTAAGCCTCCTTAATCAAATTCTTGGATGCGCCTTCCTTGCCCAATTTCCTTTGTTTAATTAAGCGCCGCGATGACCTTATCTGGATCTCGGGAAATAT